GCCTTCTTGGCCACCAGGGCACACTGCTGCCTCATGGTCAACTTGTCGTCCACCATGACACCCAGGTCCCTCTCTGCGGGACTGCTCTCCAGCAGGTCAACCCCTAATCTGTACTGGTGTCCAGGGTTATTCCTCCCCAAGTGCAGGACCCTGCACTTGCCCTTGTTGAACCTCATGAGGTTTCTCGCCGCCCAGTCCTCCAGCCTGTCCAGGTCCCTCTGGATGGCAGCACAGCCCTCAGGGCTATCAGCTACTCCTCCCAGTTTGGTATCGTCGGCAAACTTGCTGAGGGAGCACTCCAGCCCTTCATCCAGGTCATTAATGAATAAGTTGAACAGGACCAGACCGAGAACTGACCCAAATGTCATACCTTCAGAAGGGAAGGACTCTGCTAACAGTGATCTGTGCGAAACTTTCCATGTCTAGTTCATAGTGGAATTTCAGACAGTCGTTTTCTACCTCATTGTGTACTAGCATTTGAGGAGTTCCTTCCATAGCATAAACTCTGGGAAAGGGAGGTAGCGTGCTTGGAGATGACTTGTAAAGGGCATGTGCAAAGAAGTGCGACACTGTGCCAAGACTCCTCTTTCACCTCCTTCCTCATGAGTGACACAAACAAAGATGACAGTGTGAAGTGTTGCCTCACGTCAGACCGAATTAGAGCAGCAGGCTCTAATGAAATCATTTATCAGGCTCTAATGAGATCATAGATCAAGCATCTCATTTGATTAAAAGAATCTTTCAAATTAAAAGAGAAGCTTTGTAACTTTAGGGCATTGGTAGGAGAAGCCCTACCAGGTACCCGAGCTCCCAGGAGAAAGGCATGTAAAAGCTATTTCAGACTTGATGTTGCCCTGACTTTCTTCATCCAAAAAGGGTCAAAGAGGCTCAAAAGACCCTTTTTAGGGAAGAGTGGTGCCAGAGGGAATGATACAGGTGGTTCTGCACATGCAGCTGGTCACTGTTGGCAGTGCTGGCTTAGAGCTCATTTACCAACAGCCTCCTTATCTTCTTCCTTGCTTGTCCCATTGTGCCATGCAGCACACATGCCCTCCCATCTCCCTAGCTGAGTAAGTCATTCTGCTACCCGTCTGTGGAACGGATACCCATTGGTACAAAAGAAACATTAGTGAGATTGTTCCTTTTCAGGCATACCCTTAGAAGCTTCCTGACCTGCCGGAGAGACATGGGTGCTGTCTTGAGGATCACTTTGTCCTCTCTTGCCCCTGCCTGAGTGCATGTATTTAGAAGGGGAGCGCCTCAGTATTCGGGAGAGCAGAGGTCCCTGCTGCCTGTGGGGAATACTTTTTGGCCCAATGATGTCCTATGCTCTGCTTTTCTCCCTAACCATTCTCCAAAGTACTACACTTGCAGGAACTAAGCAAAAAAAAGGAAGTAGGGAAGAAAAACAAAAAGAAGATGAAGGAAAAACAAAGGAAAGAGAAAAGAAGGAAAAGAAATAGAAAAAAAAAAGGTAAAGGAAAAAGAAAAACAACAAGGAAAAGAAACAGAAGAAAAAGGAAAAGAGAAAGAGAAATGAAAAGGAAAAAGAAAATATAATGGAAAAGAAAGAAAGAAAAAGACACAGACCAGAGTACAACATGATGATTTTTTATAAGAAGAACTTATTTGTGCTGTGAAATGACCTGGATCAATTTTCTTTTGTTTCAGCCAGTGTGAGGGGGGAAGTGCTGCAGATGGCCAGAATGGGCCAGACTATTGAGTCTGAGACTATTATTCCTTTTAATTTTAGGATTAGCCTTGGTGTAGATTGCACAACATTGTGTAACACTTCTGACAATCCTGTTGGTCCCCACTGTGTAACTCTGCGGTGTTTCAGTTACAGCCTCAGTTCCCATGAGTGTGCTTTTCCAGGGACGTTCCATCAACTCCCTCCTTATTGGTGCAGACACGACACCCTGTCTCACTGGGCTTGCCCACCACCCATCAGCAGTCTCTTCAACTCAGCCAACCTCTTTTGCTGTTTTCTTGGTGCTTGGATTTTGAAGGTTCTTTCTGCAACCAGGATGCCTATGGCTGTGGACAATGCGACTTTCGTTGTAGCTTCATCCATCCACTTTCCTATTTTCTTAGTTCCTCCGATTATCCTATTATTCTGCTCTGAATATCTTGGTTTGTCCAGGTTGTAGTGCTATGCTGTGTGTTGCCAGCACAGAGATCACTACAATCTCTTTACGTTTGTTAGCTTTCTTGAGAGGCAGCCAGCAGGAATCTCTATACTTTACAGGGTTCCTTTGTGAAGGGAACAATCCTCTTTCCTTTCAAATTGCCCCAAGTCCAAAAGGAATAAAACCTCTATGGTTCAGAACTACTGCAGGAGCCTGTTCCTCTAGCCATCCTGACAGGCCCTTCCCAGAGAGGGGCCCCTTAGAGACCCATGCATGTAAATCACATAACAGACAGGCCAGAGCAACATGAGTGTTGAGGAAGGGCATCACCTGTACAGAGAATAAAGACGTAACTTCCAAGGGTCCGCGTGCCCAAAGCACAAGGCAGACAGGTTGGAGCTTCTCTGCAAGCAGCCTATGTAGGGTAAGGGATTCACAGTGCATCTCCTTGATGCAGGGGCAATGGACACACCTGGGCTGTCCCTGGGCTAGGTTGTAATACAGACTTAGGGCAACTCTCAGCACTAGCCCTTGCACCTGTGCTCCTGAGCTTGCTCCACATCCCTCTGGCTGTCAGTGGTGGGCAGACTACTCTGCTTCAGCGTTCACCTCGAGCTTTTCCATGGCAGCAGCCCAATGCTTGCCATAAATTGCCGTCAGGATGCCCGCTGGGGGTGCCCGGAGGCAGAGTACCTAGGACACGCCGCCTCCTTTGGATGGGGACAAACAAAGGCAGCAAAGGAGAGCAAGAAGAAGCAGTAGGCGCACAACAGCTCGCTGTCCAAGGGCAGGGCTTGCTGCCTTAGGTCCCTGCAGCTGCCTGCACGCAAGGAAGCCCAGCGGAACACAGGACAGCCAGGGGAAGCTCAGCAGAGCAACATCATTCCACTACTTCCCATTCCTCGATTCCAGTGATACCCACTGGTGGAAGTGGGTGAGCAACTGGAGTTCCAGAGGGAGCTTCAATAGACCAGCCTGTGAGCCGTGTGCAATCCCAGAGCCTCTTCAAAAAAAAAAAAAACTCCACCCTGACCAAGCTGTGCTGTTGCTGCAGCAGAGCCCAAGGCGCAGCTGCACTCTCCTCCCTGCTGTGGGTGGACTGGCCATACCTCCATGAGTGCTGAAAACACGCTGCAATGCAATGGAGTGAAATCCCTAGTGAGGGATGTCTCTTTGCAGAGACTCTGGGCCGCACGTGGCGTCCTAGCAGATCTCAGTGTTGGCATCCTGTGTGCAGGAGACGAGGCGGGTCTATGCTGCATGCACTGGAACAGGGCTCCCCTGTGCCAGCCAGGAACAGCCCATGTGGCTGCGGGGAGCTCCAGAGGTCCTGCAGGTAGGTCCTGGTACAACAGAGCTCTCTCAGCCGCAGGAAGTATCACACAGAGCAGAAGTCTGGAGGAGCGTGTGCTGCCAGAGCTGCTGGAAACCCAGCCAGTAAGGAGGAGAGGAAGCTCCAGTGACTTCATTGGCTGCAGGGCCTCAGCTTGCCTGTAAGGATGGGGTGGAAAACTGTGTCAAAAGCCTTGCTTTTGGCAAGTCAAGGCAAAAAAACAGCCAGTGGTACCCTCATATACCCAGCCAGTTATCTCATCATACACAATGGTTAAGCATATTTTCCAGCTTCTTTTCCTCCACGTGCTTAGAGATGGCAAAAGGAAAAAAGGTTCCATCACCTTCCTGGGCTGGAGGCGAAGTCGACTGGCCTGTAATTTTCTGGGCAGCCTCAAGCAAGGGTTCTGTGGGTCAGAGCACTGGCATCAGGCACTGTGGGGCAGCATCCTAGGCCCTGCCAGGCACCACCCAGGGACCTGGCCATGTCCAGCAGTGCTTGCTGCACACTGGAACTTTCTTTGAAGGAAGCCACCTTGCTTCTGTCCCCCGCAACCATTCTCCTGCGCCAATCACACATGCCCAGCAGCACATGCTCTCCCAGCTAGGGCTGATTTTGCAGCCAGCAAGGGTGGCAATGCCAGGCTGGGTTGCCTGTGTCTCGTGAGGTCCACTGGCTTCTGGGCTGTGCTCAAGGATGCTCATGGAGTCCCATGGCTCTTTTGATGTAGGCAGGACAGCTAGGAAGCCTTGGCAAGCACCATGGGCAGCAAGTCACAAGGAGCCATGGAAATGACATCTCTCCTTGCATGTTACTGGGACATCAAGGCCCTTCAGCTACAGGCAGCACTCTTGAGGGCTGAGGGCACCCTCACAGCCCCCAAGTGAGTGACTGGAGATGGACAGCAGGAGATCCTGCGACAGCAGGAGATCCTGCGGAAGGATATCACAGGGATGAGCGGGGGGATCCCAGACACTGGCATCGGAGTGTAAAGGGCAGTGGCTCCTCCTGCTGCCCATAAGCTGTCAAATGCAGCCTTGCTCCGCAGACCCTCCCCTCAGCACTCGGCAAATTCCACAGCAGTAGATTTATCGTTAGATGTATTTGGGTGGTGAGCAGACGTCATCAGCCCCACATAGCCGAGAGAGCACCGCGCAGGCGCGCTGACCCTTCCAGCATGGCGCCTACACTATGCTCCCACCCGTCTCCGCACAACGCACCGACCTTCTTCCCATAGTGCAAAGCTGCTGCCCGCCCCTTTCCGGCCAGGCCTGCAGTGCTGATTGGCCGCTCGGCGGGCCTGGCCGGATGTGGGCCGCCCGCCGCGGCGTTTGAACGGTAACGCCCGCGGTGCGTTCCTCGCTCGCCTTTCCCGTTCCTCGCTCGCCTTTCCCGTTCCTCCTCCCGTGCCCGCGCTCCGCGGGCAGACGCAGCGCCGAGCGGGCGCCCGCAGGACGCTAGTGGCTCTCGATCGGCAGCTCCTCTCGCCCCGGCGGTCCGTAGCTGGCGCGGGGGAAGCTCTGGCGCGTCCACCTCTCGGCTGGGCCCGGTCCCCACAGCGGAGCAGCCCGCCGTAGCGCTACGAGGTCGCGTTTCCGCGTGGCAGCCGCCTTAGGGCACCCAGCGTAACCGTACCGCTGCGGCGGTAACGGTAGCTGGTCTCTTCACTGTCCTCTAGGGGTTTGCTCTTAAAAAAAGGAAGTTCCTGCTTCCTTTACCTGAGGGCATTCCACAGCCCTCATTTAGTAAGCTTGCAGAAAGATATCAAGCATAGGAGGCTGCTAAGCTGGAGCTGCAGTACATACTGCTATCAAGCTTTTTAATATGCCTAGCATACGGAAACGTGAGTTAAGCTTTCCCTTTGCAGGTTCTTTGAAGACGTGTGGGTCTTTACTGGTCTTGAGATGGCTGCAGATGAGTATGGGGAAATTCTCCAGTATTACAAGCTATATGAAACGATTGGAACAGGTGGGTCTAGTCTGAGCATGAATCAGGTGCTATTATTGATCTTTTGACTGTTTATAACTTAATTATGACTTATGACAATGTAGACTGTAGTTTTTTAAAATCTGTGGATGTGATGTCAACTTTTTTTAAGGAGGACCTTAAAATGCTAGTTAAAAGTTGATAAAATGACTTCTTCCTGTAATTAAGTTGTTGCATACTTTGCCATGTGCCTTAGTGTAACTGAGAGATGATAAGGAAGTGTGTGGTCATGCTGATGTTTAAATCTGTCTCTTTGGATTTCAGGTGGATTTGCCAAGGTTAAACTTGGAAAGCATCGTCTCACTGGTGAAAAGGTTGCAGTAAAAATCATGGACAAGCTATCTCTAGGGGTAAGTGGGGATGCATGAAAGTTGGTAATGTTGTGTATCTTAGGCAGTTTTCAAGAGTGCGGGGTGTGATATGTAGACCTGCCTGCTTTGTGCTGCCGAAGGACATAAACTCTGTGCACAATAGTCTCTTGGTGGAAAATTGATTTAATTAAAAAACTCTTAAATCAATTTAATCGAAAACTAACACAACCACAACATACTGGAAATACCACAAAATAGTAGATTTGTCTCTCCAAATTTTGCTAGCAAGTGTGCCAGAATTCTGGAGGAGTAATAACAAAGCTTTTGCTGAGCTGAAATCAAGAAGTTGGCTCATGTGTCACTTATACGAAGTTTTTCTTTTGTGATGGCTTACTACAATGCCCAGTATGTAAAAGTAGTCAGATTCAAGAATCTTGTCTCCTAGGATGACTTGCCTCGTATTCAAATAGAAATTGATGCCATGAAGAGTTTAAGTCACCAACATGTTTGCCAGCTGTATCATGTGATAGAAACATCCAAGAAAATATTCATGGTCTTAGAAGTAAGTGTTCCGTTATTGATGCTTTTGCCAATGGTTAAGCTTACTGTTCTTAGCTTCAGCAGTAAATGATAAAGTTTAAGCTGAGGCATTCTAAACACATTCTGAAGACATACATTGATAAATTGTGTCTTCTAACTTCTTGTGAAAACTGCTATCAAATGTTCATAGTAACAGTGTTCATGGTTCAGTATTATAAGCTATTGACTGCAGGAGCCTGAAGAAGCCAAATTTCATCATCTCACTGTGATCTGTATTACGTCTGACACTTGCTTGAATCTTTATAGTTGATACTTTTAAACGTGTTTGGACTGCCAAATAAGATGGTATGTGATATATTTGGATTTGGTACATTTGGGTTTCTACAGTAATGAGGCAAAGAGGATGAAATGATTCTCTCTAATTGCTGCCCAGGCTTCTCTGCATTGACTGTAATCTATGCCTCAGTAGTAGATTAAATATATTCTCAAATACTTTTTCTTGTTGTCGTATAGTATTGTCCTGGAGGAGAGCTGTTTGATTACATCATTTCTAAGGACCGCCTTTCAGAAGAGGAAGCTCGTGTATTTTTTCGACAGATTGTTGCAGCGATTGCTTATGTTCACAGTCAGGGATATGCTCACAGGGATCTCAAACCAGTAAGACTGTATAGTACTAAAAATATTCAATAAATAATCAAGATAGTCTTTTATTTCACCATTAATAGCTGAAATGTTACATTTTTTCATTATCTTACGCATAGAAGGCCATTATCTGTAATTTTGAAAGGGCATTATTTCTACTTGCTGCTACTATATTCCTCAGTAGAGCTGAATGTGACTGGACCTAACAAATGCTAGGTAAGAATGAAGTACAGCCATAGTTTTAACTTTGATTTCAATTAGCCTTTTTCTTCCCTTCTCAGTTTGTACCTTCAGAGAACCTTTATGTTCTGTCTGTTCAAACTACCCTATTTTCAAGCCCCAAAGATAAAAATATGCAGTTTGAAAGAAGGTGTAGGGTGAGACAAATCCCACTGTCCCTTCCTCTATCCTTTTTTTGTCACTTTAGCGTAGAGAGAATGAATTTCAGTCCATCATCAGCATCATTAGGAAAAAAGCTCTTTCCTACATCCAGTCTGAATGTCTGTTGTTTAAGCTTATGCCTGTCTGATCACTCAGTGAATACATACACACATGTCTTCATACTCTTGTTTTAGATATATTAAAAGGTTGCTATGAGACATTTCATGCCCCATCACTCTTCAAATATTTTTTGGTTGAATGTCATTCTCTCTCTCCTGTCAAGGGCCAAGTGCTCCAGCTCCAGAGTAGCTTCATGGCCAACCACTGACCTTGGTTAGCACTTTTTTTTTTTTTTTTGAGATAAGATTCTAGCTGCTAGTGGCAGGAAGAAATAAGAATAATATAAGGTGAAATAAGATGAAAGACAAAGTGGTTTCTTGGACAATTATGTGAAAAGCATTCATTATCACGTTCTTTTACATCAGGAAAATTTGCTCATTGACGATGAACAGAATTTGAAGCTAACAGACTTCGGGCTTTGTGCAAAGCCAAAGGTAGGAATATGAGTTGTTTTCACAAAGTAGAATAAAGTCAAATATTAAGTACATAAAAGTACATTAGCGATATGTATTTGACATCAGAGTACAAGGAATTTATAGGTACAGTGAAATTGAATGAAGGGACTTAAGCCCCTACGTTCAAGCTGTTCGTGTGCTCGTAATACACCTGTTTTTTTATTTGGTAGAGCCTTAATTGCATATATGATGGAGAAAACTCTTAAATTATTTTTCTCCTCTTGCATCTCATCTTTTATTTTACTGTAATGTGGAGATTATCCTATAGTGTATGTATAATAAGCCTGAATACAAATAAGCTGATGTGCACATTCTCTAACATTTTGAACCACATATGTCTCTACTTGAAAGATCTGTATGTATGTGGAGAATATGGATAAAAGCAAATATCTTTGGCAGGTGACAACCAAGTGATACCTTAGTTCCATATACTTGAATTGTTTCCTGTATTTAAAATTGTTTTAGAGAAGTCTTTTTCCCTGTGGTAAATTTAACATGTAACAGTGAAAATCACCAGTTTTTTAGGAAGCTATTTCCTTAAATATTGGTATAGATAGCCAGGTTGCCTCATGCCCAGTAGCTCTTGGATCGTATCCTCCCAAGTTTCAGAAACATACTCCCTTCACAATTGTGAAAGGAACTGCCATTGTTAGATGAGGAGCTGAAGACTGTTAATTTCAGAAGCCCTGGCACAGGCTGCCCAGGGAGGTTGTGGAGTCTCCTTCTCTGGAGGTCTTCCAAACCCGCCTGGATGCCTCCCGGTGCCACATGCTGTAGGTGTGCCTGCTTGAGCAGGAGGGTTGGACTAGATGATCTCTAGAGGTCCCTTCCAACCTTGAATATTCTGTGATTCTGTGATTCAGAAGGAAACACGTGAATGAGATGTCTGGTAGCTGAATATTTGTAGCATGCTTGGTCTTGAACAATTTGCATTTAGTGAACTAATGGATAATACCAGAACAAAAGAGGAGGTCAACTCAGATGCACAGCAAGCAAAAAGAGGCCACTGTGGCCTTTAATGCCTCTTTGTTAGAAGACTTTAATGTGGTCTAAGTCTAGTGTATCTGTGTGACTGAGTTTTCTGTGGTATTCTAGGGTGGCCTTGATTATCATCTTAACACATGCTGTGGAAGCCCAGCTTATGCAGCACCAGAGTTAATTCAAGGCAAAGCGTATATTGGCTCAGAGGTATGTTGCACAGTTGCTTTTTTCTCCTCTGGAGTTTTTAAGGTTGTGAGCTTCAGATATGTACACTTCTCTCTCAACTATTCCTCTATAATATTGTCTAAGGAATTCTGAGAAGCTAGCCTTAAAAGTCACAGACCAGAATAACACCTAATGCGCTCTATTGGTCACAGATTATGCTGTTGCCTAGTTCCTCTCTGACAAATCTTTCAGTGTCTCCGTAAGTTGCTTTGTTTTATATGCTGCAGGACAATATCTTAACTCTTTCCTTTTGCTGCAGACTTTTTCAAGAAATGTTAGATTCTGTTAATGTCCCATCACATCTCCCACACTTTTGTGCAGTCTCGCTCAGTGAACCATCAGGCTTGTTTAAGTTAATGTATGAAGACCTTTTCCGTTTTGTGCTGTGTAGTATGATACAGTAAATGTGGGGAAAAAAAATGTTAATGTCCTGCTTGATGCTAATGTCCCAGAGCATCGGGGCCTGCTACTTCCAATTCTAATCCATTAGAACTAGAATCCCCTCAGAAGTTCTAAATTGCTGCTTTATAAGCAATGATGTCAGAGTATTTCCTGTCATGTTTTTGTACTGCTATGTTGGACTCGAGCACTTTCTTTATGATTCCAGTGTGTTTCAGGCCTCTGTATTCTTTGTTTTTAGTGAAAATCTTGGTATCGGTGAGACCTTGTTCATGCCCATACAAATAGCATCTTGTGGAGCTTTAAAGTGGTTGTATTTAACAGACAGGTGCTGCTTTAGTGTATAGGTGCTGCTTTACCAGCTCCTTCTAATAAGTTTGAATTTGTTTTCTCAAGTGAATATGCTTGTATATTAAACATAATGCAGTAATTTCTTTTGCTATCAGAATTTGAAAAACCTGTTTCTGATGACTTGAGGGAGGACGCTTGCATTTTAAATAGTGCTCTAGTTTCAGCAGAAAGATAACTGAATTCAAATTGTATGCTTGCACTAGAAAATGTAAGATTTCTGTCCAGAAGGCAGAGTGCTGCTTCTCATTAGTTGTATATGGATTTAGCCAAAGCTGGGCAATATGATCTATCACTAAGCCAAATCACTTTTGTGTTTTTAGGCAGATATTTGGAGCATGGGAGTACTGCTGTATGCTCTACTGTGTGGTTTTCTTCCTTTTGATGATGAAAATGTCATGGCAGTCTATAGGAAGATAATGGTATGTTCTGATTTTACTAGAAAGCACTAGGAGTACATTACTAAGCCCTAATAGAGGAACCTCTGCTTTTGGAATGGCAGAATTTGTTGGACTATGCCTAAGAATAAATATGCATATCTTGCTTTCTATTCCTTTTCGATCAGTTCCTTTCATTTTTGTTCCTTTTCGAAGAGCGTTTGTGTCTTCTCCATCTCTAACCCTGGAGTCTAATATTTATAAAATTTAGAGGAAAATACTCAAGGGTGCTCAAGGACCACTGTGGGAGAGAGCAGCTCATTTATACAGGCTCTGTTTTTTTGCAATGCATAGCAATCTGAGCACTTTAAAATGCATGATAGCTTCACCTCATAATGTGGTTTTTTTTTTTTTTTAGGTTTGAGTTGGAGTGGACTTGTATAGCTTGATAGGTCTCTAGGAAGCTCAGTTTGTGTTCTTGGGGAATACTTAAAGGAAACAAAGACTAATTGTCTCAAAGAGATCTTGTGAAGATGTTGGTAACCAGATAACAGTATTAAAATATTAATTTCTTACTGCATAATGCTTATTAAAATGAACTTTCAATTCTTCAGTAAAATGTCTATAAATGAGAATAGAATAATCAGAATTGAAGTACTTTTCCTTCTCTGTTTATGAACTGATGTACATCTGTGCATGCTATCACAGAACTATAGAAAATCCTTTAGGATAAAAAATATATCACGATGCAGAATCAGGTATATGATGTTATTGCTAAGGTCTTTGTTTCTATGAAGGTTTGTCACTAGTGGAGGCTTAAGAACTAAGAGCTTACATGAAGAACTGAGATATTAGGAGCATCAATGATTAATCCTTCATCACTTAGTCATTTGTTTAATATGTGCAAGGACTAGGAGTTGGACATAAACAAGCTTTACTAATCAATGTTTACTTATGTGAACTGAGATTCAGCTTTAAAACTGAGTGCAGTCGAAAACTGGTAATCCTAACTGTGGATTTTAAAATATATTTACTACTTCCACTCAATTTATTGTAATTTAATGTGATTGTGAATCGAAAATTGATTTAAATTAAGACAATTAGGCATTTTTTGTGGAATTTAATTTCACACATTATAGATCTTGAAATATATTTTAATCTCAACTCAGAGCTATGGTTGCAAATCGGTATATTTGATCTGCTGCTTGAATCTAACTAGGATCTTATCACTCACATGCAATGTTTTTTTATTTCTATGTAATGATCTAAATCTCTGCATTTGGGTATACTTGAATATACCTTTACTTTTTGTGTGGATAATCAATTGGTTGTGATATATGTAAGAAAATTATTTTTGGTGATTTGTCTGAATCTGTTAGATATTGTGGATTTTTTAGTTTCCTGCTTTGCTCTCAGTTATTTAGGTGTTTACTCAGTTTTCTCTCAGTACTTGTTCAGTAGCAATATGTTAAAGTAGAACAGATAACTAGTTTCTGGGATTAGCACAGCAGTGGTGTGCTGTGTAATCTTTGCCTAGTCTGGGAGTAAAGCCGTGGTGAGGAACTGCACACCATTTCTGAAGAGCTCATTAAGAGTATCTATAAAGACATGATTCACATTCTTTAACCTGTGATGTCAATGCAATACATATTTTACTTGGATATCTAAGTATAATATTACATGCTTTTTTATAGTCTTTCTGTAGAAACAACTTTCATAAATTATTTCATCATAGCTGTTCACTGATTTCCTTCTGTTTTTACTCCAAAATAAATGGATGGAAATGTCACAAAAGCTAAGTATCTGAAAACTGACTTAGAAATATATGGCACAAAAATGCAAATTATTCTTACTAATACAGCTTTTCAAATTTGATCTTAATATTAAATTTATTCAGATATTCTTATGGCTAAGTTTTAATGTGTCAATTGGTTTTTCATTATTGACTGAAGATGAGTGTTAGAGATGTAAATAGCCTAATAATTCAGTTTGAATTAACTGTTCAAAGTATATTTAAAAAGCACTTTTCTCTGCAGAGAGGAAAATACCATGTTCCAAAGTGGCTATCTCCTAGCAGTACACTACTACTTCACCAAATGTTGCAGGTAAACCTCTTTTAATAGATACAGCTTCTCTTCAGCTAAGATCCATAAAATGATATTGGATGACTAAAAATATCACTTTGACAAAATATTTAAAAAATATGCATTTTGTGAACAAATTTCATTCTTCTAGATCTCTGAAGATTAAGATTGCCCCCTTCTACAAAATTCTGGAAAGAAATACTGTGCTGTGGAAATGTAAACAAAACATTTACCTTACCAAACAGCCTGTGTTGAGGAGTTGGATACTTTGCTATGCAGCAAGGAGAAGACTTTGTATAGATGAAGATTAATGTACTAAATATGCTATAGTTAATCAATGTAACCAGTGCTAAACATTCCTGGAATGTTTACAATCAAGTGTACATTCTGTAACCACTCAGATATTTGACCTTTTTGGTGAAGTTATGAAAAACTAATTTTTATTTTGTTTTTTTTTGCCAGTCCACAGATCTCTGACAAAAATCAAATGATCTTCTCTCTTTGATTTAAGTAACAGCTTAGTTCTTACTCATTCACTAGGTCGACCCAAAGAAGCGGATTACAGTTAAGCATTTGTTAAGTCATCCTTGGCTTATGCAGGGTTACTCTGATCCTGTTCAGTGGCAAAGCAAATACCCAGTGAGTACATTTGCCAAATTAATGAAACAAAAATTATTGTCTTGCTACTATGACCCTCATGTGGAGGTTTGATGACAACTCTCCAAAGATGAGCTTTGGGATAATAGTGGTTGCTTCTTTAACTTAGTACTTTTGAAATGAATTTGAAATTATTTGATCTTGTTCTCTCTAGTGAAGGAATTTCAAAGTGTGTTTTTACTATATTCTGCAATTGCAGCTTAATTTGAAAAGTAACTGACTTACAATAATATGAAATATTTCCATATGAGAATGTCACTTAATCCTAATATTGCTAGGTCAGTACTTCATATAAGGTACAAAATAAAAATATTCTTCAGAGAATGTCATGCACAGTTATAGGTTGTCCTAATTCTAGCTCCTAATGTCCTAATTTGCTTGTCCTAATTATAGCTAGTTTGGATAAACTTTAAACTCATGACAATGATGTTTGTCATTTTTCCAGTGTTTGTGTTACTGCCCCAGCTTAAGTTACTTCAGTAACTTAAGCTTAAGTAACTTAAGCTAGGACAATATGAAAACTAGCTGTCAGTAGGTGCTACTTTCTGTCTGCTTCACTCAGTGCCCAGCTTAAACCATTGGGTGTCACTGTTTCTCTGTGTAAAACAGAACTGCTTTACTGTATGTGTGACACTGTGCTAGGAGGCTCTTTTAAAATGTGTATTATCTACAACTTTGACTATATAAGTACCGATGAAAGTTCAGCATTCTAGTAAAAAAGAAATCTCATCTGGTTCCTCATGGCAATCTGGGGCCTCTTACACAGACCAGATTGGTGTTGTAGAAGTGGATAGTTTTCTTTCTATTCTCTAGACACAGCTGCTTAAAAAGCAAAGTTGAGAATGGCTGGTTCTTGACTCAGCCCAGTGGATTTCATGACAATGTCATGGCCAGATATAGAAAACAACTTGAAAGCCTTGTGCTTCAATACAGATTATCTTCTTGCAGCTGGGACACATTGATCAAGATTGCATAACAGAGCTATCTGTGTTTCATAAACGGAGCAGAGAAAGTATATCAGAGTTGATAGCACAGGTAAGAAATACAGCAGTAGAACTACTTGTCTACTAATACAGTAAATTTAATATTTACCTATTCATAAATATGAAATATATTGCCTTCCAAACATAAGGAGTCCTTGCATAGATTTAAAGTGTGGTTGTAGGTTATAACTGAAGTTCTGCATTTCAGATTTTTCTTCTTCCTCTAATTGTACTAAGCTTGACTGTCCCTGATTCCCATGATGTTAAAATTTTTGTGATTATCTTAAAGTCAGAAGATGCTTGCAGGAATCTGTAACTGAAAAGAGATCATACAGACAGTAAATAACAGTAAAAATGTCAGAGCATCATCTAGGCAGAATAAGTACTTAAGATCATGCATTAAGATCATGCAAAATGTTAGTGCCATTTGGAAAAGAAATTGCTTGTATCTTGGCCTGGCTGAATCTATTCCTTAAGAGTAGGAGCTTTGTCATTTGCCTTGCTCCTCAGTAGAGAGATTTTTGGTTGTAATGTTAGTTCTCATTGTGATTGTATCATGCACTAATTTTCAGGCAGGATAGTCTGTTTCTTATATTGCATGCACAATTATGAATCAACTGAAACCGCACTTAAGCAGTCATACATAACAAATGCAGAGCATGTAATATTTCAGGAACAAATGTCCAAACTTCTTTTGTGCTTTTCCAAACATAAATTTTTGTTTTGTTTTAGTGGAAATATGACCAATTATCAGCAACATATCTCTTGCTTCAATCCAAGAAGTCTCGTGGCAAGTGCATTCACCTACGGTTACCATCTCCGATAGACGATGCCAGTGCAACACAGTTGGCAGGCCTAGAGGTACGTTTTGGAGTCCAACAGGTTAAAATACTGATTGAACAAGCTCTGCTTGTTTGCTGACTGCTTCACTAAACATAAGTGAGACAGTGTGTGCAGTCAGCCAAAGTCTTGGTCATTAAACACTTCAATCTCTTCATTAGAATGTTTTAGCAAGCTGGGCAAGTACTACAAATTAACATCTTTGGGATAACTGTCTGGAAGGATGTAGTGCATTGTAACTGACTATCATGCAGAATCTCCCCTTGGTTAATCATGGAAATAGATTAAAAATACCTATTGTCTGGAAATCACAAACATTCCAAACATCTGTCAAAGGAAAGAAACTTATTCTTTAACTGTTCCATTTTGGAACATCCCAGAACATAATGCTCAACTCAAGTAAAGGAAATATATTCCTAAAGGTTTTCCTGAATCTGTTTTCTTCAGTTGTTTCATGAATGTAATTAGGTTTTACAGTAAATTCTGTTCCTGTGCTTTACTAGTGCAAGTAGAGTCCTTCAGAACTGGACTAAAGCTGATAAGTTGTTTGTAATAACCTATATACAGATCATAAAAATATATATCTATACAGTAGCATATAAGCAACATGTGATGTCAGTGATATTCATCTACATTTGACAAACTGGAAGCCATTCAATAAAGAAATCACCATACTTCTAAATCATTCCCTCTTCAACTGTAAAATTCAATGTGACATTGAGTAGCTATCTGAATATTTTTATAAATGATATGCAATCAAAATACTTTCATAAGTGTGATTTAACTGCATATAAATCATTTTATGTCACTTACTAAGCTGCTCTGAGGTATAACTTAGAATTCTAAACTTGTCAGTACCTTATAGAAGCATGAATTCTAACTGTTACTAAATGCATATAATATTTGTCTTTTAAAACTCAGAAAACTTTAATGAAGATCTTTACTAGGTTCAGTGGAACTAATGCAGTGAAGTTACTTCATTTTTACTGGTGAAATGATGTCTCAGATTAAATAGATGGGGCAAAATGCTACAATTAACTTATATATTATACTTTGATTGTGATCATGTCTACGTAATGCAACAACATGTTAGTCTTAAGCAAACAGTTCTGAGCATTGTGTTACCTCGAAGTGAATATTAGCTGGGTTCGCTTAAATATCCAAATGACAAAGTTCTCTATGTAGCACTGGGCTAATGTCAAGAAATGCAGAACTTCTAGCAAGCTTGACAGTTTGGTGGCATAGCCTTTCGCTTATTTCAAGCAGTTTGAAGTTCAAGGATGTCCCCCCCAAAATAACCATAGTATGAATTTGTTCTTGAACATAGTAGCTATCTTATGTATTCAGCCAGCAGAAGAAGATTTGAACTGCAAAGGGCTGTGGCAGTAGTTAATAGGTTCCTAGTTAAGGGTTTTGTACTAAATCATCAAGTACATCTGGTAATGTGCTGGGAAACTTTTTACTGATATGATTACCGTAGAATCTTTATACACTGGCCAATCAACTTCACACAAACCATATGATAGCTTCCTAAAATGGCATTCTTTTTGGGTATGTATTGATAAATTAAGTATATGCAATTTCAGGGAAGTGGTAGAAAACACGTCCTTGAAGAGGTTCCTGAAATTAGCAAAAGGTTAGGAAAAGAGGATACTACTTTTTGTGATTCTCATTGTATAGAGAATGAAAGTATCAGCTATCTCTGATGTTTATAATATTGTAGTGTCTTTGGACACAAAGAGGAACTTTGCCTCTTCCCCAGAATTGGAATGATATGTCCTATTTCATGACTTCTCAGTAGTGGCAAGAAGGATGAACTGTGGTAGGTGTTCTCTAAGCTGACAGATGTTCTATCTCTTCTTTTCCTATCCTCTGTAATATAGAATCATCTTCCCTTTCCACGTTTCAACATAAGAAGCTATGATAGATTCTTTTTGGTCTGGGAGGGGTTAGAGAGCCAAATATCAGTGCTCCACTTCCATTGCATAACATTATCTGTAGAGAAGGAAAAAAAAAAAAACCTCACATCCTCTTTCTTCATGAAAGAATCTTCCTGTTAGGCAAAAAAGATTAATGAAGAAGGAGGTACATGAAACCGATAGCTTCTCAAATGTTATCAGTTTCCTATTTAAAGTATTTAATAATATAATTTTCCTTGATACCTGAAAGAAACAGATGTGTAAGAAAGACTGTTTCTGGTCTGTCTTTATCTGCCAAATTTTTGCCAAATCACAATATAAAGACATAATTGGTATATGAGGTTATATTTTATTAGAATTTGAAAAAAAAAGATAATTGACTCAACTACTGTTGGATATCCACATTATTATAGAATTTATTTCTCCCTAAGAAAAAGACATAGCTGTATGCAGGAATATAGCAATTACAAATTCCTAGTCCCAATCCTAGTCCTAGTCCCTGCGGTCCAGTTGAAAAGGTTCTGTTTCAAGGAGTTTCCTTTTTCACTCAGTAAATTTTTTTTTTTTTCTTTTTTTGGTAAATGGAAAGCTGGACAGCATATCATTGTCTTCTAACAATATTGTTTCAGATGCCATAATCATATTCTGGGAAAATGTTTGCCTTTATCCGGTGCCCTTTAGACTTTACTCCTTTTTTTTTCCTTTGGCTCCTTGCAGTATATGTGACTTTAGTTAAGAGCTTGTGGCCTGAATTAAATCAAAAGCCGGCTTTTTATTTTTTATAAGTTGCTTCTTGACACTTGATCATGGAAGAAACTTCTGAGATTAATTTCATATCTGCTCTTGATATAAATAATAACATCAGGATCAATACACCCAAATTTAGTAACAAAGGCTAAGTGAGTGACATGGGTGCTTCTGTTAGGTGCTACCCATAATTAGGAACTTGGAAAGAAATAAGACTTTGAAGTTTTTCTGTTCATCTAAATATTCATCTAAAGCACTGGAATCTTAAACTGTGGCTTTTCATAGCCTGAAAAGAACATGACAGATGTGCTGAACAGCAGTGATGTGCCATATGTTCTTTTGGATCCATGGAATTTGATGATTCATCTTTGCTGTCTGAAGAATTCCTTTTGAGGAATTAAATCTAAATAGTCCAAGAAAAAAGGAGCTTGTAGACCTAATTCTGCTTTGCTTCAAAAAAATCTTGTATTCTCATTATACACAATGTTTACGTACATAAATGTGTTCTATACATAAATTCACCCAAGAAAGTAACCTGCCTGAAGAAGTTGTCTAGATGTCATAGCTAAACATAAATTGTAGCTTTCCTCTAGCTACAGGCCGTAGTTCATTTGATGTGTACCTAGGCTTTGACATGTGGTATGCCTAACAGCATGTAGGGAGTGAATAGCCGGCCAAAAGGACTTCAAAACTCACTGGAAAGAATGAGGCATGATAAAACAAGATATCAGAGCTAGACTAGAGCTGGACAAGTCTTTAAATGTAAAGGGAAGTTTAACCTCTGTAGTAGACAAGAAAATCCACTGAAGCAATTCAAATTATACAGTTGGACCAAATGAAAATTCTTACTAATTTAAGATGTCCGTGGAATATAGTCTTAAATATGGAAGCTGAATAACTTAGAAATGTCAATTGAGTTAGCAAGATATTTTTTTATCAAATTCTAGGGAGAAACAGAAATATTGCAGTTCATTCTTTTTTAAAACTGTATAATATTTTTACAAGCAATGTGTCTGATCTGCTTAGACTTCAGAATTTCCTTGTCAACAGCATCCCTGAGTGTGATCAGAATATGACATAGTATACCTTTTCTGTTGTATTTCTTGTAGCATTCAGAACATGATGCTGAACTGGATGATATAGAATTCACACTGTCAACTCCAGTGACAAGAAAAGTGGCATCGGAGAAGCATGGAAACAAAGAGAATATTGATACAGAATCTGCTGTAAGAAATGAAATATCCTTTGCACTTCCTGCTCCAAAGACTCCTTTTGTAAGGAGTGTGAATGAGAAGAAAACACAGCCAATACCCAGTGAGAGTCAGTGCCTGAAAGGTATCTCGTGTGAAAAATCAATACTTACCATCATGTGTCCATGTTATCGGTTTTGTAAGTTAATAGATAAGTACTAAATATTTTGTTTTCAAACACTTTTTAGGCAGGCTTTTTGTCCAAGAACATACATTCACCAATCTGTTTCTGTTAAGGCACTGCAAGAAGCTTAAACATGCCTCATGACAAGAAACGTCAATGTTTGTTACAGAAGTTATTGCTTCTTACAGTACCACATGTGCAATCTTCAAGTGCACTCTAACGTAGAATCAAGTACTGCACTTCCAGAAGTCCCTTGTCTGCTTTCCTGTGTTCCATAAAGGCTTAAAAAAAAAAAAAATCAGTGCATGCTTTTTTTGCTATTCCTTTGTTGTTTTGTTGAAAGAAAATATAGGGATGCTTTTACTCAAGGTGGCCTCTGCTACTCTTGCTTGTATTTCTTATAGAAACATATCAGCATTTTCACATTGACAGGCCAAAGACATGCATCTGAATAGGGTCAGCTTTTCTGATGATTTACCAAAAACGTCTGTCCTTACAGTCTCTCTAGTATATTCTTGGTCCTTACCCCACTAACAAAACTCTGGTAATGTGAGGTCTAACCTCTTTCCTTCAAACAGCAAATACTACTTGCCATAGGAGAACCTTTTGTTTCTTATTGTAGGGGAAGTTGCTCAGAAACAGTGTGTGTTTTCAGTCCATACTCATTTTTAGTCATGATAACTTTAGTAGAATACTGAAGGATGGGTACTGCAGAGGTTAGGTCTTCAGAATGATTTGATTTTTATCTTAAAATGACATACAGCACCTTGTGAACAGTTTGCCTCCATGCAAAGGTGAAACAGCAAAAGTAGATTTGTTTTTTGATACTGAGTGTTGCGATAAAGTTCTAAGTTGCTTAATTTGATATTTTTCTGAAGATTAAGCAAATGAAAGCTAACACTTAAAGATCTTTTCTTTGGGAAAGGTAGTAATAGTTTGAGAGAAAATGGTATGTATGTAAATGGTATATGTAGAGAATGGCAGATATGTAGAGAAAATATTGATAATCATTGTCTGACTAGATGCAATTGTGTAGTGAGCTGGAATTTCAAGGTGAAGATGTCAGTGTGGTTAGAACTTTTCAGGGTGTTGTTTAGTATGTTGTATTAAAAACGGCTTTATAATTTGCATCCTTCATTTAAAGGATACCTTAATATAATTGACATAGTGCAGAATGCCAATATTTGACATAATGAATTACTAATTATTTATCCTGGGACCTGTGGCAAAGCATTCCAATCCTCTCCCCTTCACAGTTTCTAATACGGAACTGGTATTGGTTGCTGTGTGGTTTCTCTTTTGGGGCCTTGGGGAAATCACTTTAAATTTTTCTTTCTATTATATCGTATCTCAGACTCCTGTTTTGTGTTTATATAAAAACCTACTTTTTCATTCTAAAGATTCCAAGTCATGAGATATCCTTGCTAAAGAAAAGAAAATCCTTCACTGTAGAAACATACCTTCTTTGCCTTGGATTCTTTCTTTCAGAGACGCAGTTGGCTACAGTCACTCCAATTAAAAAAAACACAAACACAGCAAATAGAGCGGAGATTCTTCCTGAAAAAAGGTAAAAGTCCAGTTACTTAAGCACAGATCTGATTTAGAACAGGACTGCCTTAATTCAGATATGGACAAGGAAACCTGGTACAACAGCAAGCTGTATGTGTGTCCCTAATACTGATAAAAACCTTCCCAAAGTTTTTTTTTCTGCCTTCACTACAACATTGAAGGTAGAGGAAAGTTATGAAATTACGTATCTGAATTATCTTTGAAAATAATTCTGTTTTTCATAATTACAATTTCTTGTTTCAGCTCACCAAAGAGCTGCAGTTTTTATACAGAACTTTGGGGTTAAACCTCAAATACCTTTTGAAAAGAAACTGTCATAACATACTGTACATGCTTTGTTATTATTCATTCTACTTGATCGGGTAATCTTTTAGTGATGTATCTGAAAAAAAAAGTTAATTCTGAACATTGTTCAAAAAACTAATTTGTTCATGTAACAGGTGCCATTCAGTTGAATTAGACCTCAATCTAGTTGATGTGGATAGCAGCCAAAAGAAGAAAAGAGCCAAAATGTTTGACAGCCTTGAAAAAGGTCTAGATAAAGTGATCACAATGCTCACGCCAAGCAAAAAGAAAAAATCCAGTACAGATGGTCCAAGGAAACTGAAGGTATGATTGCTAGAAAAGGCTTGGTTTTTTTATTTGCATCCAGTCCAGTTCATAAGTATTTTTCTGAGTAGCCATTTAAAGACCAGTGCAGAAGTGCAGAGAACCAAGTGTTTTTGTTTTTTGAAATTTTCTTTACTTCTCAATCTGTATTTCTTTTTTCTTTTTTTAATTCTGTCTTTGCAGGTCTCCTTTTTGACTTTCAGAAGCTAGAAAAATACTTGCTGCACATTAGAGTTTGCATAGCCTTTCTCATTTTACCTATGGATATCTGAAAGATTTTGACAATGTCCCTGATGATCCCTTATTAGACAAATTTTATATGCATTATTTAACAGAATTTGGTAAAAATATATATAAATTTTAGTATGAATCTACTTTTTTTAGCATTATGATGCCTTAGAATTAGAAAAGCCCCTAGAGCTGTGCTTGTAACAACTGTAGTCTCAGCTGAATAACATGCAATACCCAGTCTCCCACCATGGGGAATGTAGGGTGCTTTAAGTCATTTGTATGTCTTGCTTAATCCTGTCAAGGAATCTTTCACTGGCTAGATTCAAAGCTTTTAGTTTCTGTGCTGCCCTAGGCCATCACTGCTACTTCTGACTTTATACTAGATTAGATTTTGTAAATATTTAGCTATTCTCCAGAAGTTTTTTCTTCAATGTTCCTGCCTATACTTGCAGTGGTAATATTGAAAATTTGAAAGATTTGTCATTATGGTTAAGTGTTATAAAGCTTCATTTGAAACATTTCCACATTGTCTTTAGTCTTAAGAAAAAATAAACATTTTTCTTGTCTCACTTCTCAATTCCCCCTGCCTCCCCTTTTAAATAAGCTGTTTACTTTTAGGTACGCTGCAATGTTACCACAACTCAGCTACTGAATCCTGATCAGGTGTTGAATGAAATAATTGCTGTTCTTCCAATGAAAAATGTAGATTATATTCAGAAAGGGTAAGTACTAGAATCTGACTTAAACTTGTCCTTATCTAAAAAGTTAGTACCTGAGTACAGGAGTTTAAACTTAATTTCTCTGTGATGTATTACTTTTTGTAAAAAGATTCTATTTTACCTGAAGAATAAAAAGTGCAAATGTGTGCAATAAAAAATAGTCAAAAAAAATGTTAACTGAAGTCTATGAAGACATCCTGGACTGGCACACATTAACTAGTAATAGCAAAATAAATCTTAAAGGTTGATGTGATTTTTTTTTTTTTTTTTTTTCCTTTCTATCAATGGTGAATGTCAGGGTACAATAACAAAGCCAAACTGGATGACTCTATGATACAATGTGAATATCTGACCCTAACTCCTAGCAGTTGAATAGTGATTCATTAGGAAATTAGTACACTTTATAATCTGCACAGAATTCACACCATTATATAAGCCTATGTTGCAGGGTTTTCTAAGTGGACTAAGGTACCAAGACTGGATTTTATTCGTATTGATATCCTAATTATCAACATATAATGTCTTTCTTGCTGACCTTACAACACTTTAAAAACTGCTTTTACACTCATGTGCATCTTCTAAAGTTCTTGATTTTCTAAGTGATTGATACTGTAAAGGAGTTGATATGTTTCAACTTCTGATATTTAAGTTCAAAACCTGTAAAGATACTTAACTGCTTGAAAAATCCCTCTCTGCATTGTAATTTGTATTTCAGGATCATTTTTTCTGCTATGCACATGGGCAAAAATTGAGCCACAGCTTGACACTCATCACAGATGTCTCGAAGGAATGTGGTCTTATGTAGTAAAAATACAAGATTATCTTGCCTTTAAGTTCTGAGGGAGTCAGGATCTGTGGCCAGCAGTAGTTTTTATGGCTGGGAAGCCATAAAAACTATTTTTTTACATGTTAACATGTTAATGTTTGGTTATAAAGGTAATATTCTGTGTCTGAAATACCCAAAGCTCTGTTAGCTGCATTCTTAGTTGGTTCCCAGCATTCTACATGCTGCTGAGTGCTTTAAAGTGCTTTCATCCTTTACCCATTCAAACTTTCTTTACAAAACAAATATGGAAAAGATCAATGATTATTCTGTCCTCTTTTTATGCAGGTATACCCTGAAATGCCAGACACGGTCAGATTTTGGCAAAGTCACTATGGAATTTGACTTAGAAGTGTGCCAACTCAGTAAAACTGAAGCAGTGGGTATCAGGAGACAACGGCTTAAAGGTGATGCTTGGGTCTACAAGAGACTAGTGGAAGACATCTTATCTACCTGCAAAGTGTGACTTGCTGATGCATGTGCTGGAAAAGCAGAAATTTTGTACTACCTAAGATAACTGAGGTTTTATTCTAAACAATTTTTTTAAAATGTTGTGATAACTAATTCTTTGTCATATTCACAGTTATGTTAGGAAACAAATCCGTCACTTTTATCTTTTTAATTATCTGTCTTTGTATATATGCTTTATTTGTTTTCTTTAAGAAATTTGTACCCCTTTAAAATAAAATTCTGTAAAAAGTTCTTCTCTCTATTTTTACAAATGCAGATAAGAGTAGCAGTGGTTCTATGATCAAACTTACTTTATGTTTTCAGATATCGAGTACATGTTATTCAGAAAGTCATTTGACTAATTCTCTTCCTGTCTTTGCCTTAAGTGAGATTTATTGAGGGCATTAACTGTGATAACAACAGATCTGATTTAAACTATATGGTCAATATGAAGCCAGTCCTATTTTGTACAACAATCAATGTTATGTCAACAAAATTAGGATTTCAACTATCAACTATCAACTATTTAAACTATCAAAACTTATCATATCTATCATAACTATCAAAATGTATCATATGAAACATTACTGTAATTCTTTAATAACCCTTCTCATGGTTAACAACTGTATGTACCTTTTGATGTGCTCTCACTGACTGAGAATATTATATTACAAATTCTAGCACCTTTGAACTGCCTTGAATAAGGAAGTTATCTATACCTTGCACTCTATACAAGCAGTTCAGAGAGGTCATAAGCAGTATTGAGAGTAATATTTCAGCTCTGTTCTTGGATCCTATCAATAAAACTTTATTTATAGTAATATATAGAGCTGCAAGGGAAAGCTGGGTTAAGAGAAATGTTAGAATATTTCCTTTTAAATATATATATATATGTCTGTGTGTCCCAATTATTCCATGTCTAGCCTGTAATAGAGTTTATGAACTTTAGTGTAACTAATGTACCTGAGTGAGAATAGCATGACTACTAATACAAATCCAAGCAACAACAGTGAGAAGGCAGATTTATTGAAGTCTTTTCTATATGAACAGGACATGAAGAAAACATCTGGTAACTCTGCTCAAGTTACTATGGTTGATGACAATGTGCAGCAGATTATGAAGATGTATATAAAAGCACTTGTGACATCTGTTATTGCTCCTTAACTAAAGATTGTGTTCATGTCTTCAGGAGCTGAGTATTCTCTGAAGCTTCTGACTATGGCTCCTGAGATACCAGGTGCAGTCCAGTAACATTGTATATCTCTTAATGGAGAAAGGTGGAAGGATTTACTTATCACAACAGTTATTGATGAAGGTAGAAGTACATTATCTTTCTTTCCAATGCCATGTGCTGCTTCTTCATGTAGATAATGAATGTGGGGCATCTTGATTTCAAGAAAAGGTGGAAGTGTTGATAAGGAAATGAAACATCTTCACTGTGAATAGTTAACACTTACAGGGGATGCTTGACAGAAACAGGAATTCAAAGTTAGTGTTGTAAAAAAGCCTACTGTCCATTGTCCTAGAAAATTAGTGTTTCAATGTAAACAACACTTAAATACTTCCTGTACTTGGCAAGTTTAACTGCAAAAGTCAACGCTTGCTTGGTTTTGAAGTGTTGACATTTGACTCTGTTATATTTCAATTGAGGTATGCAAATGGGAGTAGTGATTGAGGTATATTGTTAATATAATATAGCTAATGACTAATGCAATGTATACATTAGAAACCACTATAAACTGAGCACAAGGTAGAAGTAACTGAAAAATTGAAATATTTGTTTTAATAGTTGTGGAAAATTTTGTTCTCAGAAATTAGTACTAAGTCTTTAAAAATACATTATCTGTCATTTTATACATTCTCACTAAGAATAATAAGACTGTTATGAAAGGAAAAACAGTAATTAAGATGACTTGTTATTTTTTAAATAAAAAGTAAGGTGGCTATTTTAAATTTCTACTGTGCTCTGGTGTGTGAAATAAGTTTTCTGTTTCTGTTTCACAGTTGTAGCTCTATGCTGGACTTCCTCCACTAGTTGTGGGGAACTCGGACATTGACACAGTACTCCAGATGAGGTCTCTCTAAGACTGAGTAAAGGGAGAGGATCACTTCCCTTGAGCTGCTTGTAGCTTTCTTCCTAATGCACACCAGGATCCCATTGGCTTTCTTGCCCACCAGGGCATATTGCTGGCTCATAGTCAACTTGTCTGCCAGCTCTCCCAGGTCCTTCTCTGCAGAGCTGCTCTCCAGTAGGTCATTTACTGCCCTCCTGCTTGTTCTATGCCTAGGGTTATTCTTCCTTGAGTTCAGGACTCTGCACTTGCCTTTGTTGAACTTTAGGAGGCTCTTCTCTGACCATTTCTCCAGCCTGCCCAGGTCCCTCTGAATGGCAGCACAGCCCTCCTCCACCGTTTCAGCCATGCTTCCCACTTCCGAATGATTAGCAGATTTGGTGAGGATGTGCTTTGTCCCTTCATCCAGGTCCTGGATGAGTAAACTGAACAGCGCTCGAGCCAGTATTGAGCCTCCAGGGATGCCTCTAGCTACAGGTTACTAACTAAACTCTGTGCTGCTCATTACAACCCTTTGAGTTCTGCCATTCAGGCGGTTTTTAATCCATCTCTCTCCACTCATCTAACAGACACTTCCTGAGCATCTCTATGAGGATATTACAGGAGACTGTGTCAAAACTCTTGCTGAAGATAAAATAACAATTGGCACTGCTGTCTCCTCATTGACCCTGCCAATTGTTCCATCATACAAGGCTATCATGTTGGTCAGGCAAAATCTTGCCTTTGTGAATCTGTACAGCTGTCTACAGCTTAGATCTGTAAGGTGAATTCTGATCAGTGTATGGTCCTCTACATGCTAAGAGATGACATTTACCATGAGCTGTTGCATCATATTTCCAGTGACAGAGGTGAGGCTGACTGGCCTGTGGTTGACTGGGTCCACTTTCTTGTCCTTTTTGAAGACTGACGCGATGTTACCTTTTCTCGAGTCCTTAGACATCTCTCCTGTTCCCTATCTCTCCTATTCCCTACCTTTCAAAGGTATTGGAGAGTGGCTTAATAATAACACCATCCAACACCCAGAGCACTCTTGAGTGCATCCCATCAGAGCTCAAGGATGCCAACATTTGTGGCTGTCATATTTCCCTAAGTGGTCTCTAGCCCAATCTTCCTTAACCAAGGACAGTCTTCATTTCTTCAGACTTAACTCTTTGTATTCAGGCTTTACCCAAGCCCTTCTTGACTCTGACACCTTTTTCTAGATTTAATTCCTAATGCACTTTAGCCTTCCCCATTGCATCCCTGTGGACTCTGATAATATTCCTATATTCTTTTCAAGTGGCCTGCCCTCTTTTCCACATTCCAGACTTCCTTTTTCAGTTTGAGTTTTGCTAGGAATGCCTTGCTCATCCACTCAGGTTTCCTGTCCCTTCTGCCTGAGTTCTTACTCAAGAATGTGCTCATCTTCATGTTGGAGGAAGAAATGCTTGAATACTAACCAACTTTCTTGGACTCACCCATTTTATAGGGCCTTGGCCCATGGGATTCCTCCAAGCAGGTCACTGCAGCCAAGGCTACACGCAGCTATCACATCTCCAACCAGTCCTTTATTAACGTTATCAGTTAGTGTCTGTAAAGGAAGTGTATGGATATCCAGGAGAATGGTTTGTGAGCCAAAGTTACAGAAACTTCTGTACATAAGAACACAGGGCCAGGGGACACATTCTGTTTCATAGAGTTCTGAGTACTACTCTTCCAGACCACTAGACTGTATACCAGAGTCTTACTTACCACAGTCTGTCTTGAAATCAGTGAAGTTTCTCGGTATGCTATATCTATCATGATCCTTTCATAACTGAACTCCTGTGGCTAGGGGCCTCTTTTTAGGTCTAATTTTAATTCGTGGTTGTATGTAAATGTGCTCTAGTCATTTTTGTCAAGTTTAAGTTGACATGATGGTACTGTTTCTCCAGGTTTTCTTTATGAGTATAATCATGACTGTTCACCATTTACTTTGTTGGACTAAATACACCAGCCTCTTACAGCTTCCTGTTCTTTCTCCACTTCATCATCCTGGTATCTAACATTCCCCTAGCTAATTTGAGTTCATCTTACCGGGATGTAGGTAGCCCAAATGATCTCTATTCATGTATCTTCAATATTCCAAACGAGGGCTCATAAATACTTCATAAATAGCAAATCTTTTGCTGTTCTGTTACAACAATTTAACCTATGTGCTTTGTGGTATGTATATTCATGTTCTTTCCACTGTAGAGGCTCTCAATCTATTATTTCAATTCACATCTGTTCATATATTCACGTATTCTCTGTTCATCTCTAACTTAGTATATCAACCAATTTTATTACCACTGTACAGCAGGTATCTGGGCTACTAATAAAGGTCATTACTTAACAGAAATAGTTCCAGGTCGGTTATTCGAAACATCAGAACTTCTCCCTACTCCAACAGGTCACCTTTCAGTACTTTCACTTATCTTTGTAATTCATGTGATAATGTCTATCCTTCCCAATTCAATCTATTTCCTATGTGTTGCAATACCATATGCCCTCTGGAAGTAAGAATTAGTCCTGCTGTGTCTTGTTTAGAAAAAAAAAAGCTTCTAAGCAAGGACTGGTGGGCAAGTCTAGATGTTTTGCAAAACAGCATTTCATTTTAATATTATTTTGAGGAGAGGAGATAATCCTTCCTTTTTTAACCATGCAGCTCATCTGTTTACATGTTCGAATTTTCTTTCCACTGAAACTTGATGGAAAGATCTCTCTGCTTAAAAATTATTGTACAGGAAGTGTCTTTTCTAGAAAATATTCTCACTGTTCTAGAAGTATTTTTACTTCTCTCTGTTCCTTTCCCTCAGAATTTGTCCAACTGGATGATTTTGCAGAAAGGCAAGCATATATTCAGTTCAGAGGGCAGTGTAATAGGAAACAGACAAGGATAAACTTTAAGCAGACTATTTCTGTAATTTGAAGATGGAATTAATGTGGGAAAAAGGAAAAGGTAAAATAAAACAATGTTAAAATATTAAAG